GAGAAACTTTAAACACTCTGTATCTCGTAAACCTGCAACATTTGTATAATGTATGTTAAGCGTAATCATCATATTTTAGTGTATAGTATCTCCAGTTTAGACAGTGCCCATTCTTAATGAATCACCCTGTATAATATTACATCATTTTAATCGAAAAACGCAGTAATTGCTAAGTAATATAATATTTGACATTGCAAATCTGTGGCTAACTCGTAACGTTGCACATAAATTGAATTTCCTGTTCTCAGACATTAATCCAAATGACCATCAGTGGGGCTTGATCAGTACTAACATTTACAAGCATGTATCGATGCGAATTACAGCTCAGTTATGACATGATTGTTATATTTATAATTTCCAATTCTGCTTATTGGAAAAAATATTGAAATACGTTGGTATTTTATGGATATGAATGCGGATAATAACTGAAAAGTTATTTCAGTGTAATCAAAGGTCGACTTGATATTTGCAAGAACCTTACAGTTTCGCTTCTATGCCTAGATTAATTAGAGAATATAAGTCATCATAATTGAAATGAAAATTTTGGAGTAAACAGACACAAACCTCAAATGTGCGCTTGTTTGTGGAAAGTCAATAAATAGGTAATTAGATAGTCATATAGACAGACAACACCGCCACAAGCGCAAAAACTTCCGATTAGCCTATCGCATTACGTAACGCCCTGTAGGCAATTATCATACGCCGATAGAAAGGGGGCGGGAGGGGCGCGGAGACGGACTGTAAACAAAACATGTACACATTTTAGTTCCGTGACTCCGGAAATGAAATTAATATGCCGTATAGATAAAGCACACCGGCGACCGAAACGGAATACCAAAGTAATTGACTTAAAGCGGTTAATTGTCGGGGGCTAATTACCGTAATTGCTCTGTTTTGATCGCAAATGAATCCGCGCTGACTGCCGGAATAAGAATGCAATTCAGCAGACTGGGGAAGAGGTAAACAAAAGAGTTTAGGGGGAGCGCTCTAGTGGATTTTTTTTTCGTTTTTCGATGTAAAACAGCGAGAATGGCTAATAATTTTTCAGTTGCGTGCAGAGTCCATTAATATAATTGAAAGCTTTTATCGGACTATACAATTTAGTACCGCTACTAGACGGCATTGTGTTCTTTACAAAATCATTTATACTAGCTTTTCAAATTTCGCTTCGCTTTCGAATCGAATCTACGAAGCCCCTACAATCCAACCAAACTTAGGCGCTTATCGGAAAACGAAATTTTCAATTCAGTCTCAAAGATTTTGGGATGTACCGTCTACAGAGCTCCGAACCAGTTCCAACGACCAGAACCACAACAGATGACGTCGACGAAGGCGAATGCTGAGAAAAACCGCCCCAGTTTCGAATTTTAAGAAATAAAAGGTTTCCCAAATACATCAAAATTCGAAAGCGGATAACATTAAGATATACCACCACCCGAACTATAAGCCCAGATACCAGCAAGGGTCGATCTCACCCTAGAAGGCGGAAAATTCGGAGAGGCCAAAAGTGAGAACCCAAGGCGAATATCCATATAGGACCTTACAGAGCCACCAAGAGGTGCGATCGGACATCGACTCTGATATCTTGCAATCCATTGACCAGGTAACGTTCAAAATAAACAAATTTGGAAACCTTGTTGAACATTTTTACGAGGACTACGTTATCAGTTTAGAATCGTATCCGCTCAGGACTTTCCGAACCTGTGGCAAAGATTCTAAGGAATACAATCTTAAAGGACAAAACCAAGCCTTAAGTGGTCCAAAAAGAACAGTAGGTACATCATGGAGACCTAGGAAAGGCAACAGTGTTCAAGCCTAGCAAAGTCAAAAGACAGTGATAAGTAGATACAAGAGTAACCAAATTTGTGCCGGAAAAACTACTAAAAAGGCCCAGATGAAAATCTCAGTGTAACTATGCCATATATTTGTTCCCAGCAATAGAATCTGTGCTTTGTTATAGATATCTGAGAAATGTTGGTTATGGTAATTGAAATTTAAAACTTCGATGGTTACGATCTACGGTAAACAAGAAAGTCATCGCTGAAAATAATTATTCTGTACTAGTGAGAAAATTTTGTGAAACAGAAAATCCACTGGCGTAGAAAATTTTAATTTTCTGGAAAGTAACACGACAAATTTCTATGCCACTGAATTTTTAGAATTTTTAATGATCACATTGTTTTTAACATTGCATTTGCATTAGAAAATTCCAGTAAACAATTCCTAATTTTGTAAAATGAACTTACAAATTATTTTGAATTGATTCAGCTCTTTGAGAAGTTGGTTTGGCAAATTGAAGAGAATTTTTTATTTGAAATACAGTTAAGATTTAAATGAACGGGTCGAATTTCCAAAATACTAAAAATTTGGTGTCTCTGCCACTGATTATAAGATTGCGTGCAAATTCAGTAAACACTGTAAAATTTCACTCAAATTTCACTGTACCAATTTCTGTCCACACCCAATTGAGTGAAATTTTCACTCCATTAGTACGAGTACAACTGAGTGAAATATTGCATCAGAAATGAGGAGTTTTACTCAAATCCGAGTTACTGCTATCAATTGAGTGCAAAAATAAATCACTCATAAAATTAATTACGATATACGTGTTGAAATTAATTAGACGCCATACAGCGTGTTCTGCAAATGATGAACTTTCAAATTAGGAGAAATATTGTAAAAATAATGTCTCAAATCTACATTTTTTTTAGATAGTATATATTAACGCTTGAAGTTAAGAGATGAAATCGGTATTTTGTAATAACTTTTTGTAATTTATTAAATTTATATAATGCCCAATATTGAGTAAAAATGTACTCTATAATTTCACTCAATGGAGTGAAATTTTATTGCTTTCACTGACAACGATTTTTTTACAGTGAATGTTTACCTTTATTTAGTTAAATCACGAGCCCTAGTTTCAGTAACCTACATCAAATATCTTCAGATAAGTACATAATTTTTCCCAAAAACACACTTTATATCAGAGACGAACATTTTCAGACTTTTATGAAAATTTTGTTCCCTACATTGATAAACACTACGTGTGTGTGATTTTTTAATTTTATTTTCAACATCTTGTATATACTTTTAAAAAAAATCAATAAAAGACTTTCCGCCGTACCCTGTATAACTTTTCAATTTCTTGAATTAGCATAAAATTCTGTTTAAAACGACGAACATGTGGTGTGACGTTATGAATTTCCTGAGAAATTGGACATTTAATTTTATTATATTCAGCTGTTTACTAATAATGAGTCGCTAAAACGGACGCTATGAGTAAAACAATAATGGAACCCAATAAAATTGATAATTTCTTTCTTGATAATAAAACAAAATTTAATAACGGCTTTCTAAACACATTTTTTTAAATATTCTGGGTGGATATTGAGGAGGACGAGCATAAGTCCCAATTTGTAAACCATTGACTTTTCCATTAGGTACTTTTGATTTAGTTTTATTTAAAAGTGTATTTAGAATAACAATTGCTATATATTTCTTTATAAAATAAATAGTTTCAGATCCATTTGTTTATAGTCTTTCCAAAGTCAGTTGAACATGTATAAAAACGCCTAGCAATAAAATTTAATGGGCTTCATGGGCGTCCCTATAAAATTTTCTGCTAGAGTTAAAAAATTTTAATAATTTGTATATAATGTGTAGAAAATTTCTGTTACATGTTGTTCATTTGGTTAACAATTTTATTATATTGATGGTAAATTTCGGTTTGTTCGGTGTCAAAATGCCATGTTGTAATAATATTATTACTATTTCTCACTTTCGCAATTGTAATATGAATGATTAATAGAAGGTGCCTATAATAAATTAAAATTACCTGAATCACACCAAATTTCGCATTGCTGCACTGCACTGCTAGGCAATTTGTCAACAACTTGTCAACAACTGAGGTTTATTGCCCAGTCGCCCAGTGCAGCTGTGTTATACGCCGTTTGCCCGCCCGCGCATTCTTCAATTGGGCGTATATATTTCTACCACCTCTACATTTAGTTCGACCAGACCTGTATAACTAAATAAATATAGGAACAAGTTTCTCAAATATTTCAATGCCGAGTTGCTGCGTCAGCGACCGAACCTGGTACATATACCAACTTCTTGGTTCTTCAGTTGAGATCGGAAAGACTATACCTGGGCGTGATAAGGCTATTTTAAGGTACCTAATAAAAATAACTGAAAACGAACCTTTTTTTATTCGGGAAGTGTATATTGTTGCGGAGCTTGACCGATCAGACATTCACTCCAACTTTTGAGTGGTTCTGTTTTCCTGAGCAAGAGAAGAGTGTTCTACTATTCGTAAATATTCTGAATGCATTATTGTCGCGCGTTTGCGAGCGTCTTGTTGAATTTTGTTTAGATTGCTCTTTCGAACTTCAACAACCCCGCCCCTGCCCTTCTAAAAAATAAAGACGTCACAGGTTTATGTTTATGTTTGGTTGCGATCTGAAAATGAAAGCTTTTCAATTTTGACGTATATTTGGCGCCCAACGTGAGGGCGCCGAATATGTCTTTGCCAGTACAATTGTAGGAACTATTCTGAATGTACCTTTTCCGGCGCTTAGTAGGTACTGTTTCCCAAGATGGGCGAAGTGCTTTACTATCATCCTATCAGATTCTGAGGAAGGGTATAACGTAATAATTATGGCTTCAGAGATCGTCACTTCATTCATTCCCTTAAAATGTAAAACACACAAGATATCTTCTAAAATGTTGCAACTGAGAACAGCAGCAACACTCTGGGAACGTCGAAATTGGCTCACTGCGTACATGCCTCATGAAATCCGATCTTTAAAGAAACGGAATGTGTGATTAACAGCCGCTTTACTTCGTGATGTAATGCGAAAATTATGACATAAACACGTAAACGAATTTACATCGAATAATACGCGGCTGGTTGCATTCCAACATACCTATAAGTGCTTTTTTAGTCAGGCGGCAGTCGCAGCAACCCTCGGTTGATCGATTCGCTCCCGATGAAGACAACAGTCGCCGGCGCGCGACGCGCATGCCCCGCGTTTGAAACCAGTGTGTCAAAACTAAAACCGACAAATCAAGAATCCGCCGGACTTTCACTTTTGCAATACATGATAGTTTCTCAGAGATAAAAACAACCTTGTCCATTCCAGTATCGCCTTAGCCGCGGAACGATAGCGTTTTGTTTCCTCTCTCGCCGCCTTCACAGCACACCCGACGACATCGGGTTTTCCTTGGCCCGCTCTCCGGATTTTCCCGCCGTGTTCCCGGAATTTTCAGCGCGAATGCAGCTCTAAAGGGTCAGTTTGTTACGTGCCGCCCAAGTAGTACGTTCTGTCGGGCAAGATGACTAGTGTGGACGATATTTTGGACTACAAGAAGAAGAGCCATGAAGATTACTACGCGATCCTTGGCTGCGACGAAAACTCGTCTGTAAGTTTTCATTGATCCATTCATTTTTATGATTGTTTGGATGGGAATGGGGATTGTTTTATTTGAAAATTGTCCGTAATTGAATGTCCTTCGTTATATTAGTTATCGAGACCAGCGTGCGAGTAAGCCGTCGTAAAATATTATTAAACGAACTTTAGTATTTGTTTTGGTGGAATTGACCCATAAAAACAGAAACAAAACATCTGCAATTTGCGAGAATGTGAGGCAATTCTTGGTACGCGTTAATTATTATTATTATTATTCCACATATAGAGAATATACAGGAAGTTTAATGCGGTTACATATCACAAAGTATACAATCAAAAATATTAGTTGGAATTTAATTTTTATATGGATGCATTTGTGGTACATGAGCAACTACGAAATATACAAGATGCTTTCATTTTGACTATTTCGTTCAGCTATCATTATGTTGTTTATAGTTGATTTTATTTAAAGTTTATTTTTAATTTCATATTCTTTTTCTTTTAATGAAACTACACAGAATATAACTGAAGTTATAGCCAAATTTGAATAACGATTATTTGTCAATATACGAAATATTCATTTTTGAGATGGATAGTGTTATAGTTTACAGAAAAAAATTACGTTGAAGTCAAATACGAAAAAAAAACAATTTTTTTCACGGCGTCGCACACTAGGGCCAGGAACCTCGGAAACGGTAAGAGATACGAAGTAGCTTAAATGGGGGCAATGTTGCATAATCAAGGGACCAACATTATGCCTCTAAATAATCAAGGCAAACATGATTAGTTTTCGAAATATTTGAAAAAAAAACTGAAATTTTGGAAATCCGTTTTTGTTTCATTTCATTATTGTTTGAGGTGATAGGTATTGAAAAAAGAAGAACACTTTCTCATGACAACTTTTTGCCCTCTTTCGAGTGGCATAATCAATTTTTAAATGTAAGGTTTCGTCTCTCCAGGACCATCATCAACTTCATTTTTTTAAATACGATCCTGGAAATGTTATTACATTTTTTGCAAACCTTCATTACCTCCAATAATGTACTGTCTCAGCCCGAAGCAGATTTAGTGTACGATAATTCAATAAACATGGAAATCTATATAAAAAAATATAGAGATTTTGGAACGAATACATTGAAGATGAATTTTTCGAGACAAAACGTCTGAATCTGGCTCGGGTTGAGGCAGTATAGTATTGGGGGTCACGAAGACTTGCAAAAATGTAATAAAATTTCCAAGGTCGTATTTAAAAAAATGAAGTTGATGATGGACCTAAAGAGACGAAACGTTACATATAAAAATTGATTATGCTATTCGATAGAAGGCAAAAAGTTGCCATGAGAAGGTGTTCTTTTTTTCAATATCATCAAACAAGGCTGAAATGAAACAAAAACAGATTTCCAAAATTTCGATTTTTTTTTAAATATTTCGAAAACTAATCATGTTGGCCTTGATCTTTTAGAGGCATTATGTTAATCCTCTGATTATGCAACTTTGTCCACATTGAAGCCACTTTATATTTCTTACCATTTCCGAGATTCCTGTAGTGAGAAGCTAATTTGTAACAACCTGTAGACCCTATAAAAATTGCTCAAAATGGAATTTTTTTTTAATCGTTAGGGATTTCCTAAGATATCCCTCACGAGATTTTTTTGAGAAAAATTACTCTAGATTTATAAAAATTGATTAACATTTTAACTTTTTGTTCAAGGTATTGCTTATTTTCTTAAGCAACAGTGAAATGAAATATAAACAATAAAAAATCAAAATAAAGTAATAAAACATGTTCACTTGGCGTTTTGAAACAAATTTAAATTGCCATAGTCTAACCCAACTTAACCTAACATAATCTAAAAACCTGTTATAAAGTATTATTGTTTTAACATTCAATAATGCTTGTTGAAAGGTAAATAAAAGTAAATTATTAATAGTCAAAAAGTACGTGAATTTTATTTCAAGAACTACAAATCTAACATAACCTAACCTAAAGAAATGAAAAAGTATCTTAACCTCAAAAACAAGTAAAATACCAGCAATTAGTAAAAAAACCAAAAATAAAATTATTTGACGATTTACTTCCATGAAAAGATTAGTTCTAGATTTATAAGCGGAACATTAATAAAAAATAACATTTACAAATCTAATGAGTTATTAGCCTTTTTTTCTTAATGTATTCTAATTAGGTATTTCAATATCAGGCATTAAAAAACAGAGGTTTGTTGCGAATAATTCATTGGCATGTAAACATTACACACAAAGCATTAAAAAACTTAAGTTAATAAATTTAGAGTATTTTTTCTCAAAAAAAGGTCGTGATAGATCGATTCCTTAGGAAATCCCTAAAGAAAAGATTTTTAAAAAATCAATTTTGGACAATTTTCATAGACTCTAGGCGTTTTTGGGGTTACTAACTACAAAAGTTCCCAGTGTGCGTCGCCTATTTGAAGGGATGGTGACTTTTTTCTCTATAGAGATTAAAATATTGTTGTCTCTAATTAATTCAGAATTTAGTTTTAAATTTGAAAGAGCCTAATATAGTTTTAAAGAACTATATACTTTAATTATGAAATATAATTGCTTGACATGACTTTAAATCAAGTCAAATACTTGAAAATAAAGTCAAGACGTATGCTTAGAATGTGAACTCAACTATTAAAATTTGAGTTGTACGAGTTGTGACGAAGTACTAAATGTTTTACAAATATGTGCACTTGTTTACGTCGCTAGGATACACCATGGCAAAATGTTATACAACGCTTATAGGTATTTATCGCTAAAAATTATATTAGTTATTTACATTCGTTAAATAGAAATTACAGTTTAAATAAGCATATTATCTACCAGTAAAATACAGTATTATCTACAGTTATTCCTTTTTGCAATTTGAAATTAATAGGTTGTTTTTGTAAAATTTTTTTTCTTTAAATTTAATGAAAATACAGAAAAGTAAGTTGAACGCATAAACGGTGTGAGTTGCATCACAAATCTAGGTAATTCAATGTGAGGACACCAAAAACCTGTTTCTAAATAATATATTACTTTTCTGACAGTATCAAGTTCCTCTTTCATCTATTCCCTTAGGGAGGAAATTCCTTAGAAAGATTCGGAAAAGGTTAGTTGAGGAGAAAATCTAGTTAGCTTTTTACTTTACCACATCTGAGGGTGGTTTAATGTACATATGTATATTTATTTCATTTTATTTATAAAAATAATACAATTGTTTTTATTATAAAGAGAACGTATGTTGTAACTCAGAATGATGTAATGAATGTTTATTAACTCGGTGAATATTAAATAAATTAAAACAATCGTGCAATGTTACGAAATTTTTATATGTTTGAAAATCCTGAACAAACAATTTCTTGCGGAACAATTATTGACGGAACTTGATGAATTAATTAAATAAAAATCAAATCAAAACAGGCGACAAATCTAAAAACGCAATAATTGATTTATAGCCAGTAGGCTTTATTCCGACCATAGCCGTACGTCTTTTTACGTTTATGGAAAATATATAGAAAAATAATTTGAGTATAGGTTTCACTAAATGCCTCTGAAAAAATGTGTCCTTTACGCCTTAGAACTAGAACTAAATTGGAAATAAGAAAAGAATCCATTATTGGAAGTGGATTATAAGTCGAACCTTATTATCATCCTCAGTAAATAAATCCTTGGAGATATGATCAAATTTGTGATATACTTAAGTCAACTTAAATCGTCAATAATTTTATGCGAAACTGACAATGTGATAAATGGTTTTCAAGAATTTGCTAAATTTTGTCTTGTAAATATAGTTTCAATGATTCTATAGCGTGTTTCAGAAAACAACCATACAGCAAGCACATATTCATGGAGACTACACAAGGAGCCCGAACTCCATGTAAACAAAAATCTTACAAAAATAAGAGGGCGCTAGTGTTCCATATGTATCGTTAAATTATTTTCGAAACTTTTTATTTACCGTTATAAAAACAAATTGTAATAATTATTAACTTGACTTCTAGTTTTTAGGTTAGTATACCTCCCCGATATATCTACTAAACTTATTATAAAATAAAATTGGTTATTTGCTTACTTCACTCGTATTTATTATGCTACATTCACTTGGGTCACATGGAATACTAGCGCCACCCCAACTTCTGCCATTTCTTGGAAAAATTTTGTCAATTTTTCCGTATGAGTTCGTGCTCCTTGTCTAGTCTCCCTGCACATATTCTTCAAGTAAAAACAATTGGATTTAAGTTAATTTACCATTGTACAAACTTGCTTCGTTCAAAATACAGGATGTTTGAATAATTCCAAATATTTTGCATTTTCACCACCAAGAACGGTGGTGACAATATTTTTAATAGTACCTAAGACGATGTTTCGCATTGTAGTAGCCATGTCCTGTCCAAATTTGGTTGGATTTAGTTGATGCAAGCCTGTCAGTTTCGAAAATTCCATACCAAATCTGAATCAGATTCGGTCTATAATCATTTATTTGTGGCATTTGTAGTTACTTTTTTTTAATTGGATATTTCTGGAGTATTATTTACGTGAATGATTAAATGTCTTAAGTTTAGTCAATCACAACGCGCTTGGGACATTATAAAGCTAAGGTTTGGTCTAATTTTGCATAACTTTAGTAGGTTTTAGCCTAGAAGGATAACAGATCATTATGAAATAGAACGTTAGGCCCAAAAAAGTAAAGAAATCGTTAAAAAGTCTGTTGGGTTGGTTTAAATAAGGAATGCAGAATACTGAGATTTTGGTTTTGTTTAATTACCGATTTGTTTTTAGGTGGAACAGATCACGGCAGAGTACAAGGTGCGCGCCCTTCAGTATCACCCTGACAAGAATGAGGGGAACAAGGAGGCGGAACAGAAATTTCAGCTGCTAAAAGTAAGTACAAAAATTAAATTTTTGGATTCTTCAGAAAATTATATATATATTAATATAGGGTGTTGCATTTAAAATAACAAAGTTGGTATTGACCAGTGTTACATGGCACCCTGTATATAATGTTTTTGCTGAAACAAAATCCGCAACTAAAAATACCAATCAACGACGTGTTCGAGCGTTTTTTCGAACACGATCCCATTTATTTATTATTGAATTTATTCCATTTGACTGATACACACTGTATATACTATAGTGGAATTGATATTGATACTACACGGTGTGTGAATCTTTCATTCAATAATATTCAAAGTTTATCAGGTAGTTGTTACACCCTGTATATCACTAATTTATCGTCCTTAAGTAAAGTAGATATTTTCCACTCTCTTTGACGTATTTTTAATTTGTCTCTTTGCGCTCTCTACAATGTAAGGAAAAACTTGAACTGTTCCAAAGTATATTTTGTTTGATCCCTTACAAACCTTGGCATTCCCTTTGATTCAACAAAAAGTTAATTACATCGTTCCACGACTTTTGATGTACCCCGTACGTAACTTTTCGTGAAAGAAAGTGCAAATTACCCCTCAATCAATTTCCGATAAGTTAATAGACCCGTTCAGGAATATTTGATGAGTTTGAAACCCACCCGGTTAATTTATCCCCGATTTTCTTGATCACGTTTAATCCAAACAACCGCCTGTAATTGGAGGAACTAAGCCCGAAATAATTTTATGATCTTCCGAAATGTAAATTGTAAGGTCTCAACCTTCCACCAGTCTTCGCGAATATCGCGAACGCACATTTTTATTGATCCTCGTGCATGAAAGTCGGGTCAGACCCTCATTTGGGGAGTTGGAGAACTTTTCCAAGAAATTACCGTCGATTTAATTCCGTTTCCCCTGCTCTACTCCCACGATTTAGTTACAGTTGAAATTTTGTTCCGGAGTTGTATAACTAGAGTACGTAGTTGTGATGTATGGGTTCCCTTTGGGCTTATAAGGTGTGTTTCGATGCTTTTTTATTTAATCGATAGGCAATTCTTTAATGTTTCACTCTACGGTCCAGATGGCAGCGCCAACATCGGACAATAATAGCGCGTAGTCTATTAAGTGCAAATTCAATCCACTGGATTTAATGGGTTTCCGAATATTTACTCGTATTGATCTCTCTCTAAAACCATAGGAATAATAAGGACAAAGCTAGTAATCTGAGCACCCAGTGAGAATTTTCGAAAATCACAATATGAAACATAATTTAGCAAAATATAAACAAAAAAATGTTAGTGAGATATGATTTTTATTAGAACATAATATGGATTACAAGGAATATTGAATATTGTCTCTATAATTTTTGTATATTTTAATCTAATTCAAATTGTAGTTTTGTTAAGACTTAGTTTTTTTTATCATTTAAGGACGGGATTTTGTACAAAAAATATCGCCCAGCGTGAGTCACGAAACGGGACCCCGGCAGGTGCTGTTCTAGCGGCCAACGCTTCAAGTCTAATAATTCCGTTGCACCGGATATTCGTCCGATTTTTCAGGAACGGCTCCAATTTGTGTACATACAATCTTATAAGGAAAGAGAGTAAATATTTTATTAATCAGTAATAGATTATCGAGGACAATAATATTTTTTTATTGAGTAGGCAATAATTTTTAGTTAATAAGCTTAAACAATCTTATAATTACTATTCCTTCATTATAAAAACAGAAATACGGTTTTTAAAATTACATGTAGTTTCTTCTTCAAAAGTGACCTTAAAACACGTATAACATGGAATAGTCAACAGTCTAATGTTTATATTTTCACATTAACAATCCGATAATGTAAATTAACTGCTATTTTCAGTAAAAAAAATATATACCTAACCTGAAATATTTTTTTACTTTGACGAGTCGTTTTAACTTAAAAACACTGCTTAATTACTAAAATATATAGAATCTTGCTACTAATTGCGTTTGGAGAATAATATGTATAGGCATAAAATATATATATAATATTACTGTATGTATTTAGTCCATTGAAATGAAGGCTGAACCTCCATTTTTTCCTCTGTCGATCAAACCTGGGCGCAAATATGTTTTCGACCCTCAGGAATCCGAATCCGCAAAAATTTTTGACCTAGGTGATCAGGCAAGGGGTCAAAAGGTCAAAAAACCCGTAAAAAATAAGGTTTTTCGCAAATATCTCGTAAACTACGGCAAGTAGCAAAAAAATAATTGCACCATCGTGTTCCCAGGGAAATTTTACATCGATTTTATGCTATTGCTTATTAAAATTAAATAAATTTATGTCATGTTTTGGACAATTACCAAGCAATATAATGCGATTTCAAATATAATTAGCCTGCAGTTATAGTGGATCTGAATTCAATTGCCAGATACACTATTTTTTTTGCTACTTACTTTAATTTTTAAATGGAAAACCAAAAATAATACTAATGAAGAACAGAAAAAAAACTTTTTTAGAACGAAATACTTATTGCAAAAATGAAATATAGTGCTCTGAAAAATCGACTTGTAAAGCTTATTCTACAAATACTAAAAAAGTCAAAATTTGTATAAACAATTGTTCCCAGAATGACAACTTTTTATTTCTAAATTTTGAAGACTTTTGAAGAATTGAATAATGAATAAAATAAGCCTAGTAGTCCGGGCGAATTAGGTTTTTTTTCAAAAATCGGGCCTAAATCTAATCTAAATAAATTTTAGTGTCATCTAGACACTTGAAGGAACACAGGAAAATTTGGAAAATAATTTTTAACTTGACTTTTGTTAAAGTTATTCAATTGTTAATGAACTAATTTTTCGTGGACTTAATCTTTCATAAAATTTGTTGTAAAAGTTTAAATAATGTATCTAAAAATTTTTTTCTTTCTCGAAGGTCTTTTTATATACATAATAAACAAGATTCCGTTGTAAAAGTTTATAACAGTTTTATCATTTGTTTATAATGATTTTTAAAGTTAACAAAAAATGAAAAATCCGGGAAATGTTATAAATTTTTTTTTTACCAAATGTTTGATTTTACTTGTTTTTCTATTAATATATTGCGTTTATTAACTTAGCTATAACAAATTTATAAACAAATGGACAAGTTTAATATTTTTGAAACATTTTTTTGCTATTTTATTGTCTTGGTAAAATAATGATTTTTAAAAACAAAAATTTTTCTTGAATAAATTTTTTAATTGTTTATAATCGTTTTTTTGATTTATTTGTCATTTAAATTATTTATTAAGAATTTTTTTTTAAATCATCATTTGCTATTATCAATATAATTACAAAAAAAAAATTATTCAAATTTTCATTGTTTATTTTATAACTCAAAAGTTCATTGTATTCCGTAAATATCTTCCAGGCTGCACAATTGGTTAAAATTTTGAGTTTCTGCTCTTACAAAAGTTAAGTGTTTAATTAAAAATAGACAAAATTGAAGAAAACAACAAGAAGAATATAAAATATTGACATTAGTTAGAAAAAAAGTACAGAAAATCCAGAAAATGTACCCTTAATCGTGTGATAATTTAAACAAATAAAAAAACATCGTAAACAAATGGAATAAAAAATATAAAAAAATTTTTATTGAGTAGTCCAGTAGTTACTCTATAAAATTGTCTTAAATAGTGGAATCCGTAACTTCAATAGTTTAAAAGTTTTAGTCATTTAAAGAATTAGATAATGCATTTTTTTATATACAAATGTTTATAAAAATATAACCATTGTAGATATGAAGCAGGTAAAAAAATTCATGTTATAGATCAATAAATTATCTAAAAGATCTACCTGAATGTCAAAGACCGTATCATCAATAATTTAGAAATTATAACAATTTATAAGTTTATCAAATAGGTGACCGTTTCAGCTTTGATGTGATAAAGTATTTAAAAATGCAATAAAAATTAGAAAAAAATGTTATTTACCACTTTGATGCACATAGCTGTATTTATAATTCGTTAAAGTTACGAAAAAAAAATAAAATGAAAATCAGAATTTGTTTATAACAAATTGTTTATAAAATAAACAATGAAAATTTGAATAAATTTTTTTTTTTAAATTATATTGATAATAGCAAATGATGATTTAAAAAAAAATGATTTCTTAATAAATAATTTAAATGACAAATAAATATAAAAATCGATTATAAACAATTAAAAAATTTATTTAAGAAAAATTTTTGTTTTTAAAAATCATTAATTTACCAAGACAATAAAATGGCAAAAAAATGTTTCAAAAATATTAAACTTGTCCATTTGTTTATAACAAATTTATAAACAAATAACGTTAAAATTTTTTTAGCTAAGTTAATAAACGCAATATATTAATAGAAAAACAAGTAAAATCAAACATTTGGTAAAAAAAAATTTTTATAACATTTCCCGGATTTTTCATTTTTTGTTAACTTTAAAAAATCATTATAAACAAATGAAAAAACTTTTATAAACTTTTACAACGGAATCTTGTTTATTATGTATATAAAAAGACCTCCCAGAAAGAAAAAAAATTTTAGATACATTATTTAAAGTTTTACAACAAGTTTTATGAAAGATTAGGACCACGAAAAATTAGTTCATTAACAATTGAATAACTTTAACATAAGTCAAGTTAAAAATTATTTTCCAACTGGGCTGTGTTCCTTCAAGTGTCTAGATGACACTATAATTTATTTAGATTTTTAAATTAATATTGAATACTATAAAAAAATTATTTTGTGTTGCACACTTTGCTTGGCGGCGACGCGACGACGCGGAAACCGCCGCCGCCGCGCGGAGCTATATTTTCAACGTCAAATTAAAATTATAAATAATGGAGCTACAATTCCTGACTTATTTTGCTGAAATTTTCTCCTCTTTCAGGATCTTTTTTGAAATTTCAGCTATCTTCAATATTTTTTTAGTTATAGTTAAAAAACGGAGACTCCCTTTTTTCTCTTCGTTTTTTGTTTATAACAATTGCTATTTTTAATTGCGGATAAATTAAAAAATACTTCTTTCTCTGAAT